GCGTCAGTCCAGCTCACCTGAAAGGGTCCCGCAGTGCCACAATGCCGCTCGGTCCTTTTGGGCTTTGGGATTCCTCCCTCCTGTGCTAGGAGAGACCCGGTATTGCTGATCTCGGGTCTGTACCTCGATCTGGACCTCGATTTAAATCTCGACTGAGATGTGGTGGTAGTGGACATAGAGTGGCTTTTTTCTTGTGCTTGAAACTTGGGGAAGGCTTTCGGTCCGGATGTGTCTCGCGTCCGATGTTCCGATCGTTGATACGAGTCGCTCCATCTTTGCCTGTACAGTGCTTTCACTTCCGTCTCGTAGTACATTACTACTTCTTCCTCTCGTCGGGCTCGTTCCCAGCAGCGTCGTTTCAGCAGGTGCGGTATCTTGTATCTGGCCTTGCAATGGCGATCCGCTGTAGAGTGGTCTTTGGCGCACAGCTGGCACTTAGCTTTGCACTCATAGATCAAGTAAATGTTGACCTTCTTCACTATCTACCCTTGTGTAACCAGTGTTTGTAAGTTAAATACTCTATGCTGGAAATTCCAGCTAACTCTTTAAAAAATCATGAAAAATAAGTTTTGTAAAAAATATATTTTCCAGAAATAAAATCTGTTCATTCATTCATTAAAAAGAAAACCCTTTCAGAAAAAAAATAAGTCTGTAAGCTGCAGGAAACATCAAGAAATGTCAAGGATGTACTTATTATTTTGCTGAATAAACAAATTTACAATTTAATTTTCTAATTATTGAAGTTTGAAGGTTTTTTGTATAAATATTGTGGCTGTCATATCAGTTTTTAAACTACAGCTAGCATTGTCTAAAGCCTTGCAGTGCAAGAAAACTAGGTTTATTTTAAACTCAATGCACGAGAAACACTGCAAGTCTTAAGCATATTCAATTTCCACTGGTGATCTGTTGTAATAAATGTGGTGCCAAATTCGAAATGTGGGTGCTATTTTTTCTAGCTCAGCATATCCAGCAGCCAGCATGATTGCAAGTTTTAGCTAGCGAAGAAATAGTTTATATATGTTGAAGTGGCTGCTCCAGTTGTTGCAACATGTCAGTGCTGGACATTTTGTTTGCTCTAGATCTGCGGTGCTCTATGCACAGAGTGACAGTTTCATGTGAAAAAAACAAAACAAAAAAACACCAGACTTTTGCTGGCTGCAGGCCTTCTGAGAATCACTTTTGCTTTGCTTTTTCAACGACTTAAGATAAGGCATTGTCGTCTCTATGACTGCAAGCTCACCTTTGTCAATAACCTCCAATTATTTCTAGTTAGAAAGTTTATTATTAAAATTTTCAGTTAATTAACTGTGAAGTTTGCTGTTTCACACATTTATCAACAGCTGCTGTAGTTGACAGCTTGTTCCTTGGGAGAATTGCTTTTTTTGCTTGAAAAACCTATGTTTAATGATTTTTGTCAAGTGTTTGCTAAAAAACCTGGTATACTGCTAGCGTCACAGGCAGAGTACTTTCATACTCCCAGAGGGGGTGGGGTGCCCGATTTACGACTTAGTTTTTCACATCTGATACAGCTGTTATATACCTTCCTCTTGAGGGTATACCTTCCTCTTGAGGGTATACCTTCCTCTTGAGGGTATACCTTCCTCTTGAGGGTTAGTGGCAGATTATCATTCATGATTTGAGGATGCTTGCCGAATGTAATCCACCCCATTCTTTTTCTTCTAAGTATTTCACTTTCATGGTTCGGCTCCATGGTTACTACTTATCCTAACGAAACATATTCCTTTATAACTTTCAGTGTGTCTCCACCTATCTCAAAGTGCTGTTTTCTGCTGAGACTGTTGCACATTACTTTAGTTTTGTGCATACAAATTTTCAGACCTACTTTTCTGCTTTCTGTGTCCAATTCAGTAATCATGAGCTGTAATTCCTCCCCTGAGTAACAAACCGGTGTTAAGGATATCATAGCTAAAATCAAGAAGAAATGGACATGGGCTGAGCATGTTAGCACGTAGGCAGGATAACCGCTGCTCATTAAAGGGACACTAAAGCCAACTATTAAGTCGATGTTGATTGTTAAAATAGTAGTCTAGAAACCTTGTAGTGTTACTTTTGTGTCAAGGAAGGGCTTATTTTTAAATGAAATCGCATTTGAGTGGTCCGAATCAGGTTAGCGCATTTCAATTTACCCGCTTCAAGAACTGGACCGTTTCAGGTTGATGTAGTCAGGAGTCTGCCCAGGCGACTGGAGCCAGCCAGAGTCTCAGGGAGATGTCGAGGAGAGGAGCCCAGAGCTGTTAACAGTAGTTTTTATTTACATTATTTACAGGTAGTGTGTTACATGATGGTGGTCGCATCATGGAAGCTCTCGATGAAAGTTTGATGGGAGCTTGTCTGGGAACCTGTCTGGAGCGTCTCAATGCTCGCGCTTTATGCCCTGGCCTTCACAAGATTTCCTGCAGGGAAAAACAATAGATGCCATGACAGTTCAATGAAATTGCCATCTTCATCTCCGCCCCCAAAAAAGGAAGATGAAACCCCGCCTCCTTCACAACCTAGGAAAGAGCAAAGAAGCGTGAAGCAGCCACGGCGGTTGCATTTTATTGATGAATGGAAACGCAAGGGTGTTTGCATACTTAGATTTATGAGCATGTTAAAGAACTGCAATTAGTATAAGGCAGATTGGACATGGTTATTGAGTGGTTATGGTGCTAAACTGCCCAATGAAGGTTGTGGGATTGAATCGCGGCCACATTAGTCGCATTTTCAATGGAGGCCACAGTGATTGAGGTTCGTGTGCTCAGATAAAGGACTCCAGCCGGCCAAAATTTCCAGAGCCCTTTCTTACAGCGTCTCTCATAATCATATTATGGTTTTGCAATGTTAAACTCCAATCATAATTACTTATTTTGAATATTATTGGTGTAAGGTAATCTTGAAGCCCATACTACTGCATACCTCTTAGTTATGTTGGAATTGTGGCATGTAAATCTCCAGAATTTAATTTTTTTTTAAACCCCAGGTAGTAAATGTTGTCTAATCTCTCCAATATAGTAATGTGCCTTATAATCATATCATTGTTTCAGTGTGCAGAAACCCAGAATGACTTTTTTTAATTAAAAATCTATTATTTATTATAGCAGTGAAGTCTGATTAATTTTCTCATTTACCAACATATCCATGCTAAGATCCCATGCAAGGAACTAAAAATGAATCGTGGATCTTGTGCTAAATAAAAGTGTTTGAAAAGTGAAATTTTCTAATTGAGTTAGGCAAGAATGCTTGAGAAAGATGATCCCGGAGTACCAAATTGTACATAATACATTGTAATTTCCAAGAATCTAAGAAATGTAAAATATAAAGTTTGCATGTAGTGTGTTCAGCCTAAACTTTGGTGTACATTTATTCAATATTATCATCATCATCATCATCATCAGCCTGACTACGTCTACTGCAGGACAAAGGCCTCTCCCTTGTTCCGCCAGTTAACTCGGTCCTGTGCTTGCTGCTGCCAATTTATACCCGCAAACTTCTTAATCTCATCTGCCCACCTAACCTTCTGTCTCCCCCTAACCCGCTTTTCTTCTCTGGGAATCCAGTTAGTTACCCTTAACGACCAGCGGTTATCCTGTCTACGTGCTACATGCTTCAGAGTGCTTGACAAATGTGCTCCACCCCATTCTTATTCTTCTAGTTACTTCAATCTAGAAGAATAAGAATGGGGTGGAGCACATTTGGCAAGCACTCTCAAATTCAATATGTATGTCCATAAAACACAGTAGTTTTTGAATGTTACAACTGCCTTCAGTTATATGGAACATTATAACACTATCAATATCATGTTCATTGAAAAAGTGTTATTTTTCAGAATTTTGTATTTTTTTCAAGTGATGTAACAATGGTGAGACTGGAAAAAGAACTGGTGAGACTGGTGAGACTGGTGAGAAAAAGAACTGGAATGGTGAGACTGGTGAGACTGGAAAATGAGTGCATCTGTAAGCTGGTTAAAAATAAGAAAGTATTGTTGAATGAAGGGAAATTATTGAGCGAATTCATCTTCCCAGGATATAGACCCAGGGTCTGGTGGCTCTGCAGCGACTATACCAGTGGGATAACTTATTACTGTCTTCACTTCTATCATTTTCTTTCTCTCGTTGCCTCTAAAGTCCAACAAGTATTCACAAGTCTTAAGTAATGGATCTCTTGAATTGAATTGAGTAGTTAAAACTATTTGATTCAAATTAAATATTTTGGCATTCTAATCATTTGATCCTCTTTTTAATCTGAATATGCATATATGAAATAAAGCACACAGAAAATCATGTGCATGGGGCTTTGTGAGGTCAACGGTGACCACCTATTCAAAGTTACAGCTCATGATTAACACTTCATAATCGGATGTACTACTTTTGTAAGTGCTTTCTTATCTCACAAACTGTTTCCGAGTAGAATGTGTTACCTGTCGGACATGTCTCATTGGTTTGTGGTGTTTCTGCTGTTGACATACAGTGTTACAGTTGTGTAGTTATTATGACCTTGTATTTGAAATATTACTTTATCATTCTAGTTTATTTAGAGCTTCCATCCACTATATCTGACATTTGTTTGCAGCACTTCATTTTACGTGGTGCAGTCTTAGGCGAGAAAGCATGTCCTTATCATTGCTTAAGTACCAAGCCTAAAACACATACTTTCCTGATGAATAGAAGTGTGACAGCTGTGATAACGATTCTTAACTGTTCAAGTTGTCTTGGCTGATAAACAATGTGCATATGGTTTGAGAAACTTGGCCAATGCTTTCATGTAGTCTTCTGTTCTACAAAACTCACTACAGAATGCTTTGACAGGGCATTAAGTTTCTTTTTAACCTGCAAGGTATGCAGAAAATGGAAAGCAGTGAACAGTGGTGCATTACAATAATCCAATGGTGTTCTATAATTTTACGTTTATAATTATTTATCAGCTGTATTTTAGTCTAGCCTCGCTTTAGTATCACCTGCAATGAAAAACATAACATGCCATGTAAAATAACGATCTTTTAGGGGCCGTGCAGATAAGGAAACTCTGCTGAGGAGTACATCTGGCATGACGGAGAATCTGTTTTCCATCAGCAGAATGATGGCAGACCAGGTCAAGTACAGTGAAAATGCATTAGATCTACTTGGTGAGTAATTCCGTTTTGTGTTATGTTTATTGTGAGTGCAATAGGATATCTTTTTAGAGTCACAAGTGGCTGCCTTATAGGAACCACCACAGTGGCCATCTCATTCTTCCTCCGACCAAGGATGGGACCACAACTTGTACTCTGGCTGCTGCGGCTGCATCCCAATCGGGACTCAACATAATGTTCGTGTACCAAGCATTAGGTGCACCGCAGGTGGTGAAAATATATCTGGACCTGCAAGTTCATGGCCTCCTTATTGCTTTGGGATGTCATATACGATCTGTCAATTTGTAGCTTTTCTTTACAGCATGGTAGTGCTGCTGGTTTGGATAGTTCATTTTTAATCATAGTGTGTGTAAAGTATCAACGTAAAACAAAGGCACCAAAACAAGAACACATGAGGAAAAGTGCTGCCAATCTCAAACGTTATGCTATACCAATATAATGTCATCATTCAAAAATGAAAGAAGAGAAACTCTTCAATGGACTTTTTTCTTCTGTGAGACAAAAAAGTTACTCAATATCTGCTGCCATGGCCGTGACTCGCCTTAACTAACACTCCCAGAGCAAAGTCTTTTACATATAGTAAAGGCCCAAGAAGGTGGATGGAGGGGTGCAGCCGCCGTCATAGCACATGTGGTAGTGAAATGCACATGTTGAGAGTTCAGCTGCTATTGGAAGCAAGTTGTTTCTTCATTTACTTTTGTTTCCCTTGAGTGTTTTGTCTGCAGTTCAAGCTGCAAAAACTACTGCTTTGCCTTACGTTTATGTGTTGGCTTCATACGGCTCTTCTTGAAGAAGCATTCATAAGAGTAAACAAGTTGAAGACAAAAAGCAAGGAAAAAAAAAAGGTGGTAGTATTGATGAACTTTAACACTGTTTCTTGCGTTGCATCCTCCTATGATACATTCGTGTGATGTTTATCTGACAGCTCATCTCACAAGTGGGCAAAACTGGAGACCTCTTGTTATAGGTGTTAGCAAACGGAAAGTAATGCAACACTCAAGTTCTTTACATACCACAAAGTATGGCTCTGAAGCTAATGTCAAAACAACTGTCAGAGGAGGTGGAAGAAATTTTTTGAAACCAATTCCTGAAGCACCACTTCTGTTAGAGCAGGAACCAGCCATGTTCTCTTAGTCTTGTGCAGCTTAGGATTGCCTTTTCTAGACATATTGGTAGTAGTTTTTACATGTGGTTGCTGGTAGTGAAGCACAATTAAGGGACTGGTCTTGAGACATCTATTGCAGATAGGCGATATTGTAGTCTAAAGCCACATAAGCTGGCTTCTGCATTTTGTAAAGTTGGCTTTACTTTTGCTTGTTTTTCATATTCCAGTGGGCACATCATCAATGATTACGGAAAGCCAACAGGAATCTCGGCAGATGGGTTTTGCGATTCTACAGTCACAGAAACTTCTCACTAAGTATGGCCGCAGGGAGATGACTGACCGTGTGCTTATTTTCCTAGCACTTTTGTTCTTCTTTGCCTGTGTTCTCTACGTGCTGAAACGAAGACTCTTTTGAGGAGTGAAATAGCCCCGTTATTGCCATATACTGCTACAAAAGGAAAGAAGACTGCCACTTTCTACAACGAAGTTCTGTGTCCTGGGAGTGACAAGCCAGAGGATAAATGTGAACATTGATAAATCAAACTGCATTTTCAAATTCTCAGTGATTTTGATGCTGTGCAGAAATGTGCGCACCGAGGTTTATTTGTGCAATGTCAAGTGAGGGGGCCAAGGCAGGCAGGTTGCAACATGATCCTTTATTCATAAGAAGAATAAACAAGCACTTTTACATCCAGTATAAGCACTTCTCTGTACAATCTCATCACAATCATGGTACCAGAAGGTTTCAATTGTTGAAGCGAGGAACTTGTGTAAAGCATAGCACATGCCCCCCCCCCCCCCCTCCTGACCCCCCAATTTATGTCAGATGTCAGAGTCTATACATCGGACAAGGGTGACAAATAACATGCCTGTACATACTCAACAGGAAAACATAAAAACTCCCAGCGCTGCTGCCATATTCTGTAGATAAACGTGACATCTTCATCTCATTTCCTGCTCTTGCACAGCAAATCCCCTGCAAGATGGTTTCCATACTAAAATAGGTTGAGAGAGTGTGAAGTTCTGTACAACAGTTTTGTAACAAGTAGAGACAGCTGATGGTGGGCCTTAAATTGCTTTGCGAAGATATTGAGAGTACCAAGGCACAGTCATGTGTTCCTTTTACAAACAGCTGGAACGTGCAATGTGAGGGGGTGGCTATGCGTTACCTTCTGTCATATCTGTTGGAGTAATGTCAATTTAGCTTGCGCTTATTTTGCCACACTGCACTAGCACACTGATACGCACATTTTGCAACATTGCAAGCATCGAGATGACTTTCTTTTTGCGAAGCCTTTACAATGCAATACAAATGTCCATGTCTCACTGCATGACCAGTGGTAGCCATAAGGGCAGGAAAAAATATTGTCTGCAGGGCTCCACTTCTTTTGAGTTGTGTGTAACAAGTGTGTAAACTAGTGATTTTCGTGAACCAGGAACTTGCATGGTGCAGTGTACAATGTGGCAAAATAATGCGGCTAAAATGACTTGTGTAACACACTACTTGAATGCCCTACCCCCATTTGGGAGTGTGTGCCCCTGGTGTACATGCAGATATAAAGCGACTAACGTTGGCACCGATAGAGCATGACTACATAGGTGGGCAATACTCCAGTATATCAAACCGTTGCTGGATTGAAGTACAAATCCCACAATAGCAGGAAGGAGTGTTGCCACAGCTGTATACATATATATATATATTAAAAACATAAAAACGTGACTTGTAGACTGCCACCAGGACATAAGGTGCTTCGTGTGTGTGTGTCTGTGTGCACCCACTCGACTGACTGGCTTCCATAGTTTGGCACACACGCACAACTGCCACAATTAAGAAAGTGAATGCCCTGAACCTAAGTTAATGCCACTGCTTCAACAAGATGGAGGGCATAGACAAAGTGTGTATTTTTTAAAGTTTATAACTTTTTTGTCATTGAGCACTGCAGCTTCAAGGCCCTCAAGCAAGGCTGCTATATAACACAAAGGGTGACAAAAAGAAAACACTTGGAACAAGAAAACAGAGTAGCCCACAGTTCCAACAATGGAATGAGAAAGCTGCCAAGTAATGCCTTCAGATCAGCTTAGATGGCAGATCTGCTGAGGGAAAATATGTATTTATATATATGTATATATATCGATACCACAAAGTGGTAACAGCTACTTTTCACACTGCAGGTACTGTAAAATAACTAGACAAGACACGCACTTTACAAAAATATTGGTTTTGTACATCTCTCCATCCATGGTGCACTCAACCAGCACAGGATTGGTGTGCAGGTGGCAACGCGAGTCCAAAAACAAAACGTCATTGCACATCTCCGCTTTTGCATCCTGCTACTCCAGCTAGCCGTGACCATTCTGTCGTGACACAGCAAGCCAACCAAGAGAACTATGAAGAACAGAACGCATGTGAGGCAAACAAGAAGCTCACATGAAAGCCACACCAACAATGCAATAAACATATGGTTGTCCATACACTCAAAATGGACAACACAGCAGAGTTAACACAACAGGGTTCCATCATTGCCATGAATGGCATTGGATGAGACTGCACGCCCTGGGTGCAGTACAAGGTAGCCACAGCAATCGAGAAGAAATGTGTAGATTTGTAGAGAAAATACAAAGCTCAAGATGGGCTGCTAGCTTCTAAGCAACAGAACTCTTTGTAAACTTTTTAGAATGACAGTAAGGAACCAATGTGTATTATCCCAGCCCGCCAGCTAAAAAAGAAAAAAAAAAGTAAATTCTGAAAATAACCTCGAACAACATATACAACAGGTTGAGGGAAGGTAGGGAGTTGGACATTATTTTTAAGTGTAGCGAGTTACAAGCAACTGCTGCTATTCAGGCACAGCCTTCTACAATTTGCCTAGTAACTTCCTGTAAAGCAGCAGATTACAAGAAAGGCACTCAAATGACTAGTGTTTCACTGACTTGAATTTTCTGAAGGCCCATGCCTTAGCTCTTTGCCATAGCATGGCTCTACAACAACAAAAGCATGGTGCCGATAGCGGTACATGTTGTGCTGTGGTATTGCATGCTTGGTTGTTCCCTTCAGGATTTTGTATAGTCAGGTCTCACAACTACCTTGCACTTCTGATGACCTGAGGCAACTTTGAACTTGAAAAAAAAAAAAAAAGAACAAATCAAACTACACAGGAAAACATTTGGGCAACAGTGCATAAAACTATGATTTATGCTTTCTACAACAGCACACTTATATATCTAAAAAAAAGTAACACTCATATTTACAACATGCATATTTACATATGTATAAAGTAGCTATTATCGAATAGTACCCATATCATTGCTCTTGCGCAAAACAATGCAACACACTCATTTCACCCGACAGAAAAATGACACTATAACAATTCTAAAACAAAAAAGTATTTTATTCTGAAAGCCTTCTAGCAGCATTCAAAACTGCAGTACTATAGCCGACTACAATTCAGGCAAGCAAAATGCACGTATGGGACAGCCTTATTGTTACACTATCTGGTGGACTGTCTTGTGTCTGTCAGCATTAAATACTAACAGGCATAACTGCGACAAAGCACTTTTCAAAACAAATATAAATGAGAGGAGGCAAGCCTCAGAGCAGAAAAGAAGCCTCTGGTAGAGGTCTTTCTCAATGTGCTCACATGATCAATGATTGGCCTCTTGCAAGGCCTATACAGTACCTGACCAAGCATCAAAGCAGGGTGACCCGTATAGTGTTTATTAAGAAGCCTGCAACCGACGCCAGAACAGACTCCCAAAGGGGGAATACAGCCCGCGGTTCCCCTGTTGTACAACAAGCTCACTTTTATATCACAGCACCGTTAACAACCGAAAATGCGAAGTAAGGGCTCCCAATCTTGAGGGAGAGGCTGCTCAGGCTGGCTCGGCAGCAGCCACAAGACAGGAGGCTCACAGTTCCGAGAGGCCTCCATCAGGGTTTCCTGCTGCGATGCTGCTTAGCACTCTGTTCACAAACTCAGTCGTGTGTCCAGCCACTTTGACTGAAACTGAATGAAAACAGTGGTCTTGAACAGCTGCACCACACGGCCAACACGGGCTTTAGCAACAAAACCTATATACATGCACTGCACGGAAAATAGCTACTTTATCGAAGTTAGCAACCAAGCAGGTTGCCACACTCTCTTTGCTCAACACTAAGCATTTGTCCACTGTATGAGTGAACTATTCCAACAGGCAATGCTGAGAGGTGAAATATCCATGAGAATTTAAGTACTAGACATTTATTAAAATAACGACTCATTAGTCTCTCACAATTCTTGTTTTGTTGCTTTCATCTTACATATAGCACAAAAAACACATTGATGAAAAAACACAGACGTGTACTGCTTTCCGTTTGCATTAAGCTCATTTCCTTCATTTCAAAGCAAGACATTTCAGAAATGCTAATATTATTTGCTATACTGCTTGGTGCAGCATAGCATGCAATTGCCATAAAACCCCAAATAGCAAACAACTACTTTCGCCACAATTGGGATGCCATAGTAATCGACCACAGTCATGTGGTTTGCATAAGTTGGTTTACATGTGGTTTACACTGAAATTTCAAGTTTAAGTCATGTCAATGTTCCACAAAGTTACATGGGATCCTTGAAATAACGCACACTGATATATACAAAAAAAGTTTTGCATTTACATGTGAGGTGCGACTTCATTATAATGGAGTTTTGCTGTGCTGGCACAGAAGATGCAACAGATGTTCATATACATTGTGTGACGGCCTAAAGCCACTGAGTCAAAATATCAGTGCATCTTTTGAACACCAAGCTTGCTCCCTTATAGATAAGTTTTTTCGCATTCCTCAAAGGAAGAGAGGAGTAGAAGCAAGCAACAATTCCAGAAAAAAAAAAGTTAAGAACTGTAGTAAAATATGGCTCCTAGTGAATATGTTAAAACAAGATAAACAGATTTAGTAACAGAATGGATATGAATGTTCATTATTCTTCAGTACTTCTAGAGTAACCCTAAATGCAAAAATGGGGTGCAGTAGAAAAAAGAAAAAAAAAAGAGAATGATGACACAGCTGCGCCGTGTCATTCTCTTTCTTGTCCTTTATTTGTACTGCACCCTATTTTTGCATTTAACATCAATCATTACCAATTAGTCCACAAGGCTGTAATGACTCACCATGTCTTTTAATCAAAGCTTCAAGATGAGCAGATGAAGCTTCCCGCCTGTCTGCTTGGTGGCTTTCCACCTTGTCGCGCAAAAGCTTCTTGGCTTCCTCGAAAAGAGCAATTAGTCGTCCTGGGAAAAACAAAACAAAGAAATAAAGATCACTCAAAAGAAAGCATCCATTTACTATGAAAGTTGGGCTAGGGGTGGATCTAGCCACTCATTTTAAGGGGGGTCACTTGAAGGAACATGGGAGATGGGGGTGTGGTCATTACTTTTGTTTTTACTACCACGAAAATGCTATCATAGCATAAATACTGTTAATGTGAGCGATCGCCCCTACTGTTGCCCCCTCTCGAATCCATCACCGACTTGGGCATAAAAACATATACCATCACTAGGGTGACCACGTTCCTATTAGCGAAAATCTGGGATACGCTGACAAGGGGGAGTGGTGTTGACATATCTCAGAAATTAAAGGGACTGTATAGTGCTCAGCAAAAGTTCTCAGATTTAGGCAAAAATGAGAATACAATTTACATCAGAGTGAAAGCTCAATGTATGACAATGTCTAAAACGACAATTTCGTCAACAGCAGTGCCCTACTTATCGAGAAATTAAGGTAAATTCGCAAGAATACATACGCCACTGTAGGACATTTTCAAAATGATCCCGATTACGTCAGAAGAACCGCCTACAATTAATCACTAGTAATCAATCCAGCTGCACTAAATAAGGAACCTCCCATGTATCAAGGGACGTAATAAAATGCTGCTTGTTCGTTTCTGTTTGATTCGTGGAAAAAGAGAAACGTGGGACATCACTATGAAGAATGGCGCGAGTGGTTCAAAAGTTCAATTTTCGCCTGGTTAAACTGTACATGTCGTGCCACCTAGCGGGGCCCAGTTGAACCAAACACGTCTGGCAATTTTGAAAGCCATGGCTAAAAATTGTTCAATAACCATTGCTGCTGCTCCCGCTACTTTCCCTCTGTTGCTACTATAGTATCGGCAGCCAGGCAATAAAGCCGGGCAACATTGTGCACAGCAACAGTAACGTCAAACGTTTTATTGAGGTGGGTAACTTGAAGAGCGCTAACCCGATGTGGACCACTAAAACGCAATCTTTTTTCAAAATAGGCCTTTCCTTGGCACAAAAGTAACACTATGATGTTTCTGGACCGCTATTTCAACAATCAACATCAACTTAATAGTTGCCTTTAGTGTCCCTTTAAGAACAAGCATGTATAATTTGAAATTGTATTTTATGCACTTGAGACAGCTTTCGGCTGCACCAGAGAGTAGCTTTCGCTTTTTTATCAGGCGTTCGAAAAGGCACCTGGAGGTGCATTCTCCTACCTGCCTGCCTACGGCGGAGAAATGCGAGCACTGCGTCCAGCACAGCCCATCAGAAAAACAACAAAAAAGAGTATTTGGCCAATAGCAGTGTGACCGACTTTAGAGAAGTTTTGAACCATGCCCGTGAGTCCAAGGTAATCTAGTAATGTTGCACGACTTCTCATGCATTAAGTGCAAGCCAGTATTCACCATTGTTCTACATTGAAGATTTTGCCATCATGTTCTCCTTCACCACGTCCATGCTGGCTCTCATATCTGATATGCAACACAGAACACCTAAACATAACTGAAAGACAGCAAGGACCTTCTGTTATTTTGTGCAGTGCGTCTCATTTTTGTTTTAGTAACATGCTTGGCATCACTGGAACCACTACACTTCATTTCACAGCTCCGGCGTACCAACCTTGCTGGAACAAACTAACTTTTCCGCTCGACTGCGGCGGCTCATCAGGCGTACCAGCGTTGCTGGAACATACTAACTTTTCTACTCGACTGTGGCGGCTTGTCAGGCTGACTAAACAAAGTGGAGGAACCGTGGTAATAATAGTTTATTTAACAATTTGCATGCTTTAAATGACCACTATGATATTCATTTTATTATTAAACAAAACTTTTGAAACCTGCAAAAACTGCGACTTCGATTTTCTATTTTTACTGGCACTACCATCGTCACTGCTTTCACCAACCAGTGCTGTGAACATTCATCACACCAATAGAAAAAGACCGAACGCGGATAGCAAAATTCTTTTTTAAAAATTTCTACTTGCTTTCCAGAGAAACCATTGGAAGCTTGGACACTTCAGATGACACGCTTTTTATTGCGATACAAAAGAAAAAAATTATGAAGCATGGTAGACAGTTCCTTTTGGCAATATTTAGCCATTTCTAAAGCAAGGAAATAGAGTAACTGATACAAGTCCATGCTCACATAAAACATATGTGTGTGGAAGAAATCATTTGATACATTACTGTGGTCATTTAAAGCATGCAAATTGTCTAACTATTATTACCACGGTTCCTACAGCTTTGTTTACTCAGCCTGAAAAACCACTGCAGTTGTGGAAAAGTTTGTGAACCTATATTTGTTTTGTGAAATATATATTTGTTTGTGAAAATGTTTGTGAAATATATATATTTGTGAACCTGAAGATGCAGCAACTTTTCATTAAACAGTAAAGGCATATTATAAGGCATTATTATCGAGCAATATTACTCATGGGCATAGGTTGGCTAACTCGCTCACTCATGAGTCACCTCACTCAGATTGAGCCATGAGTCTGAGTCCGGGTGAGTAATACTTTGGTGAGTATAAGCTTGAGGGAGTTCGATGGAGCTAAACTTTAGTGAGTCCGGGTATGAGCGAGTACAGCTGAAAAAAACTTTGATGAGTGCGAGTCCAACTGAGTCCTAAAGACTATGTGAATTTCATGAGTGAGTCTAAGTGAGCTCACTCAGCATAACAACATTATAAAATAGAACATAAAATTGCCTGGATTGCTATTTTTACACCTAAATTATAGCAACAAATAACTTATTATGTGCCTTTCCTTGACCTCTAGCAGTTATAATTAATACAAATTAGGGCCCCTAAGGTACCACATGTTTATTCACAGGGGTGCAACAGCCGAAATACGATTTGGAGCAACTTTCGAAACAGCAAATGTTGCTTTTGGAGCATAAATTCTAAATTTAGAGCAGGTCACGGGGTGAAAAACATGCATTTCTTATCATGAAATACCAAATTTGTAGCAGTGTAAAAAAATAAGGCTTACACAAACAAATTTGTATAAACCATTCAACATCACCTAAATCATGCAGTATGAACATGAGCACTGCTATTTCAATCAAAGTATTATTTTGAACCACCCGGCTGAGCAAACAATGATAAAATCCACATTAGCATTTGCTGCACCTGTCAAATCATTTGACAGACTTTGCGAATTTAAATATCAACCTGCCAAGCACACAACCTTGAAATTTGGGGGAGATTCGTAAAACCTAGGAGTAGAGGTGAGAAAAAAAAAAACAGCGCAGAATTTAGTTTGCTTTTTTATGGAAGCAGAAATGTCATACACTGTTTCAAATCATTGCCAGTAGGTTACTTAGACGTCGGTGATTATACTGGCACTCAGAATTGTGCAGCATGAGTAACTAAGCATGAGTAACTGAGCAAAATGTGCAGTGTTCCACTAGGGCTAACAGCCCCTTATATATCTCAGTAGGCTTTTCCGCAGGGCACTGCGAAATACTGTGACGAAGGAGGCTCAAGCAGCACTAGAACCAAAGCTAAGAAATTTTCTAAGTGCTACACCACTACCCCCCCCCCCCCCCCTTTTTGCACGGCGTGTTCAACCAGTTGAAGTAATAACGGCGCACACCCGTTGGTCCGGTGACGGTACCGGATATCTATCGCCAGGAGCCTGGCAGGGGAGACGCAGCTACAACACAAAAATAAGTGTTTTATGTGCCACTGCTAAGGCAATGAACATGGTCGCTGGCAACGCTGTTGTTCGCAGCACGTCAAGCTTGTTCACGCGAGGAAAATGCGGCATACGCTTCCAGCTTTTACAAGCCGTAGCTGCCATAACCGCATTTTCATGCTAGGAAACTCTCGTTTCCCACAAAGCATTGGTGGCTACAGCAACTCATTTTTGTCTTGAAGTTCTGTCGTCTCGCCAATAAATATCGGTTGCAGTCAGCGGACCGATGGGTGCCCAACGTTGTTACTTTATCTGGTCGATCACATCTCGCGAGCATAGGATGGGTGCCTAGAATGTTTTAAGTATATTCTAGTCACTATAGTTCGGGTATGCGCCCTTTGACTGATGGTGCAAGCTACAGATGGCCAATCAGGCCTGCATTTTTCACCGAAATCAGCGCACATGAAAAAAATTTTGAGGCTGGCTGGGAATTTTGGCACAATTTAAGCAAACTTCACGGGTTTCGCGCAGCTCGGTGCTACAATCGGCAATTGTATCAAATTGGCACAATTGGCACAGCTGTTTCACCCCCACATTTATTGTATTACCTGTGATAGAGTGATTTTGTCTCTTCATTCTAAGATTTCTAAGATTTCTAAGAAGTAGAAATTTAACTTTATGACAAACTGCTATATGCAGGTAGCCGATTCAAAATTACTTAAGTCCTGGCATTCACTGCGATTTCAAAATTAAAACCAACCAGTAGTGAAGCCTAGTCTGCCCATGAGAAATATGAAACACCACTTTCCTGTACTTTCCTGTCCTTAAAGGGGCCCTGCGACACTATTGGAACAGCCTTATTAAGCACCACAATGCGTGTAGCAATGATTACTGAGACGAATGCAACAATAATGGTGGAAAATATGCGTCCTCAAAGTTCAAAACTCGAGCAGACGAGGAGGAGAAATGTTCTCTTTCGCATTTCACTCGCCTGCTGACGTCAAACACCGCTTCCAATCACAGCGCGTGTCTCATATACCGAAAAGGCTACCTCATGTTGGCCTTCACACAATACCTCGCTGCCGCTCTTTTTAAATTGCGTCATTTTGAGTTACTACGAACCACATGCGTTGGGTAACAGACGCTCTCACGGTCACACTGCGTAATACCCCTGTCACACGTGGCAACTTGAGTGCACTGTGAGCAAGTGTATATACGCTCATGAAGTGTCATTTTGGCGGTTCACTGCTATACGAAAAAGAGAAGTGTACTTTGGAAAAATGATGGCAGTGACAATTGACAAATTTGTAGCACACCGTATATTTCTTATTTTTGCACCTGTGTATCATCGTCGGACCATGTTGTCTTCGTGGAAGTAGCATCTGTGGCACATGCCATCTTAAATGACTATAGAACAACTCACCTACACATGTGCAAGTGTGCCTGGAAGTAAACAATGCGATGGACGCAGCCATTGCACAGCATGTGCTGCCGCATCCCCCTAGCGGAAGTGGCCACAAACTGCCTGACGGTGAAAGTAGCGAGGTTTTTTGCTGCATTTCATGACTTGTTTTAATACATAGCAGTATTTCTCATAACAAAAACATTGGCCTGAAAATAGTATGAGTGCCGCTTTAGGCAACAATGCCCCGCCGCGATGGTCTAGTGGCTAAGGTACTCGGCTGCTGACCCGCAGGTCGCGGGTTCAAATCCCGGCTGCGGCAGCTGCATTTCCGATGGAGGCGGAAATGTTGTAGGCCCGTGTGCTCAGATTTGGGCGCACATTAAAGAACCCCAGGTGGTCGAAATTTCCGGAGCCCTCCATTACGGCGGCGCTCATAATCATATGGTGGTTTTGGGACGTTAAACCCCACAAATCATCATCAGCTTTAGGCAACAGCGAATTTCTGCACAAGCCACTTTTACTGAGGCTACACACTTCGTTGCAGCCCTCGCAGCGAAGTGAGGTTGGTAGACACACTTGAAGGCGAGTGTACTTTGCAGCGAGTGACACTAAACTTGCTTGTGTGACAGCGTGCAAATGACACTCATGGTGAAGTGTACTCGCTCAAAGTGCACTCAACTCTTTCGTTACCATGCTTATTTTAATCAATCACCACTGATCAACGCTTTTGGATTGTTGTTTTTGGCATAGTAAATTTGTTTCTCATGCACCCAGCACTTTCTAGTAATTAGTCCAGTCACTAAACTTTCACAATCAATTTGAATTTGCCTGTTTTGGCAACATAGTGATTGTTGACAAACCTTTGCACGAATCAATGTGCGCGTATTGTTGGAAAAGTGCACTAGGTTGGCGAATTGACAGAAGTGCGTGCTGCTCATGATTATGCTTACAGTAACATCTAAGCTCTGCAATGAAAAGAACCTTTGCAAGCCAAACATTGAATTAAAGTGTGAGCTTTGCAATTTTACTATCTTGAGCAGTAATAATTGCCAGAAATTTATGCCAACTATTCAAGAAAGCTGTTCCTAGTAGTCGGGGAAAATTTGTTCTACGCGAAATATTTACGAAGCTCCGCCGCGTGCTTGAAGTGTCGAGGTGGCCTTCTCTGACAGTTTCCAGCAGTTTTTGTTTTGCTTGCATCGTTATATCAAACACAGGATCGCATGTAGTGTCACTAGTAACGTTTATGATGTCGTTTTCACGCTTGCACCAGCCCTGCAAAACACATGCGCTGCTCGAAATTGTCTTGCAACCCCACCTGAATTGAGTGAGGACGAGCTTAGAGTTTGAGGATGATAGCGCCTCAACTTCAAGTTTTATGTTGATGATGTTTTGTGTCAGCCTGAGACATCCGTGGCCATTCATGTTTTCTTTTTTTTTTAAATCCTCAAGTTGTCTCCTCCGCCGCAAGAGCGTATAGGTTCTGACTTTTGTGCACAACCTTATAGCTACTCTGATTACGAGCGTGGTCCACACTTTTCTGGGGTGCGGTGTGGTGGCACTGGCTGCAGAACTTCTCCTAACGACAAGAAAGCCCCAAGAGTCCATCTTGGCCCTGACTACAGATCAGTGCGAAATGATTAAAAAATGCATGCGATATTGTAATTTTTTTTAATACTATAGGTGAAAAAATGCAAACAAATATGCTTGGATGCACATATTTGAATGCCAGCCTATGCGGATTAAGGTGGCTCTTGGAAAGAGGTGACGCTAGATGAAATAGCACCAAGTCCATTGGAGATCTCATTTATAGAGGGATTATTCACGTCACGGGTATCTGTTTATATTGGCACACCTGGAGGCTTTTATAGCAAGACAGCGAAAATTTACCGAGAAAAGTGTACGAGTACTCTTGCGTTTCACGAAAAACCATACAATGCTTCACCACATGGCAAGAAGAACGAAGCAGCACCTCAGTTCCGATTTTCTTTGTCTATGTGAAGAGAAACATTTTGTACAACATTTATTATTTTTTATGCTGTTCCTGGGTCATTTATCTACAAAGTGTATATTTTGAATTTTTTTTTATGTGAATATTTTTGCACATATAGTGTTTTTCATTGCACTGTTTACCAGCTGGCAATCAAAAATTCCACACTTTTCACATTTTTATTCATTCTAAAATATTTTTATTGCTCTACAGCATATATTTTTTGGAAAGAACATTTCATTGTGCAAAGTTTAATGTGCTGCAATGCGTTCTGGAGTACTTTTCGAACTGGCCAAAACAATCTTCCCAAGACATCTGAAAAACAACCATTTTTGCACGGTAACGAAAGAGTCCAGTTGCTACTTGTGAAAGGTGTATTACATGTACATACACGCTTTGGGCGAGGTCACTTCTCGGCTTGCTTGCAAGACGCGTTCTATGGCAGCGCCGGCACCCACCGCCTGTTGCATTCTTGGCTTGCTAAAACGTGGCACGCGTTTCCACTTTTAGTTACTGGTGTACCATAGTCTTGTTTGCAGGCTAAGTGTTGTGCTCACTGTTCTGAAACTACATCGTTTAGAAACAGGAATGATTTCTTTCTGAGAAAGGGTGAAAAGGTTTTTTGCTGTGTTAGCATTCACTTGTATGGCCTAGCTACCACCATATGAATATTGCGTGCTATTTGTCGCAACAAGCCAATTAAAAGTGAACGGCCTTTGTCGTCACGTCACATGACATGCCGTCATTCCCCATAACAAACACAGTCAATGTGTGTCACCATAGTCGAAAATCAAGGCAGTTTGTCGCGTGAATTAAAATTATAACAGAGCGCCGATTTCGGTGTTGCTATTTGCGCAACTATATGGGCACATTCTACAGCACCAGAAGGACCGATGAAAAACGCATGCTCAAATAGTGTCGCAAGGCCCCTTAAAAAAAAGAAAAAAAGAGCACAAACAAACAAAAAGTTAAACTTAAATACACTGATACTTTAGTAGGCTGTTTTTCCAATGCCCCTAAAGCAGTACTTTTTTACATATCTTCCATAAAAAAACACACGTGAAATTCTAGTTGGCAAAGGTGCTAGCCTTGGGTTTCAGTTAAGCAGATGTGGCTATACTGCTCAACTTCAGTATTATAATTCGAATGTTACGTAACTCACTGGATAAAATATCCCAATAAGAAACCCTCGTTACTGAAATAGACACTGCAATAATTTGAACAACTGCACGAATTATTAGGCAAAGTCATGAGCATTGGCAGGATTTTCTCTTGGGGGGGAGGGGTACAAAGCTGTCTTCCATAGTAGACAAAGAAGGGGGGGGGGGGGGGGGCAAGTGCAGGTTTGGCTTGAGGAGGGCACATGACCATATTGCACCCCCCTGGTGACCCTGATGCCCATGGACAGTCAGGATGGTGTTTAGTGTTTAAATGATAGTTAACATTACCATACACGGTCGTCTAGCACATTACACAGATTTACTTTTGAAGCAAGTTTTTTTTTTTCCTCTCTGAAAAACCTATGTATGATTTTTTGGGAGTTGCCTGAAGTGCCGGGTATGTCACACATGCATACACACAAACAGGAGATGGGAGAGGGGTACGAAATCTTCGTTATGTTCCTAAATGCATGCATAGGCTTGCACAGCAAAAAATTAACCGAAGGTGGTGGTAAGCCCTTTACGATGATGCAGCAGCAGCTTGAGTCATTGTGTACTTATTTGTTCCATATAACCTTGCTTAACCAGACTGTCCCCCCCCCCCCTTTTTTTTTCTCGCACCTAAACAAAGAAATGCGGCCAGAATTTACTCCATCTTTTCCACGCCACTCGTGAATCTGTAACGCCGTGAGGGTTTCGGCCGCGCTAGGCTGCACCGCGCGCGCAAGTCCGAGATGACGGCGCGCGGAGAGAAAAATCAAAATGGCGGCGACCCGCCGTCTGCAACAGCGGCCGAAGTGCGCCCGGGGGGGGGCAGTCACACGCGTGCTGAAATGGCGGCCTTTGGCAACAGCGGGCGCGCGTCTAACGAGGATAATAGGACTGATAAAAAAGCAGCGACAAACAGCATGCTGCGCCGCAGCCACCAACAGGGCGATCGATGGCCTTCTAATTTCAGTTAACGAAGGCGGGCCAATCCAAGCTGACAACGCGCCCATGACGTCACGCGACCCCGGTGCAGTAGGCTGCAATTCCGCATGCAGAGGCGAAACGAGCAAGAGAAGCCGATCGATCGCGGAGGGAAGTGGGGTCGTAAACAAAAGGCGTGCAGCGCTTACGGTGCTCTTGCTGCAGTCCGTACAGTTTGAGCTTGTTGGCTTCGTGCTGGGCCTTCTTCTTGAGGCGGCAGGCGCGCGAGGCCAGCTTGTTCTTCTCCTTGCGCGACTTGTGCCGCGCGTTGAAGGGTAGCTCGCTAACAGGCGTGAGCTCATTGATGATACGACCCAGCTTCTTCAGTTCCATACCGATGTTGTAGAGCTTGCGGGGGTTAGGCGTCAGATCGTTGCCGTCGCCACGACGCGCTTTGCCCGCGTGCTTGACGCCCTCGAGCTGGCATTCCGGACTGAACACGGGATCAGTGACGTCATGCAGCACGTGCGGATCGGCCGAGTCACGCGCCATGGACAGACGAGGGCCCTTGGGACCCTTTGCCTGCACATTGTACTGCCAAAAGTAGCGCTTCTTTTTCTTCTGACCGTCCGGCGATCCCGGCTCGACAGCCTCTTGGCTCGCCTGCGACTCGGCGTCCGACGTGAGCGCCTCGTCAGAGTCCTGGCTGCTGAAGCCCTCGTCCATGGACAGCTGGCTCAACTGAGACTCGGGCGCCGAGCACGAAAGCCGCTCGGCCAGGATGCGCGAGCGCGGTTTGCCGCTCGCCGGCACCTCGCTGGGCGCTGACTGCGCCGCAGGGCTCGCCTGTACAGGCTCGGCCTGAGCGAGCATGGCACGCTGCAGCACTGGCTCGGCGGAGACCTGCTGCAGTGGCGGGGCTGGCACAGCGAGGCAGGTCGATGCCGGCACGCTCGTAGAGAGAACAGGCGTCAGGATCTCGGTCTTCACAGGCCTCGCCAACAGGTCGGCCAACTGAGACGGCGCCGTGAAGCTGCTCCAGCTGGTCTGTTGCTGGAAGTCACGTAGGATGTCGTTGACGTCCAGCCCGTCGAGGCCGGACTCGTCAGCATTCAGCTCCGCCAGCGTAGGGTCCTTGAGCGGCGGAGGCTGCTTGTCGGGCTTCAACATGGCATCCAACTTGCTCAGTTCGAAGTCCATTGCCCAGAAAGAGGGGCTCTGGTCGCCCGGCTCGTTCTTGTCGGGTACTCGAGAGTACGGGTCGTCGGCCTCGAGCTCCCACAGAGCCTCGGCCAGGTCGGCCTTCTCTTCCTTTGGCTCTGGCCCGTACAGCCCAGCCTCGAAGCTGAGGCTCTCCACGGACAGCCACTGGTCCGGGTCGACGCTGCCTTCGAGTTCGGGCAGCCGCAACGGGTCCTGTGCAGCGCGCGGGGCGGCCGGCGCCCAGCCGCGCGCTGCTGCCCATTCAGCCGAGCCCAGCATGGCTGGCGGGCCCAGCGCAGTATCTCGGGGAACCTCCAAGGCTGCGGCTCGATCTGCAATGACATTGGCACAGCTTATTCGCGCACTGAGCCACTCCGACTAACTAGAATTGTGCGCTCAAGGGAGAGCCGATGAAAAACTAGCGGCCTCGTAAATGAAACGTCTGCCTTAAAAACACTTGTCATTCATTTATACAGCAATCTTCTCTTTCAGAGCTCAGTGACAAAGCAAAATGTTGCTTCTCGCAATGAGGCTACGGCGCCAATCTACACCGACTTCCGGTTAGAGAGTCCGCGCCGCCGTACGGGGCACCTTCGCCGTCGTCTACTCAGTGTTCTACCGAGCGGTCGCGGTGATTTTTTTTTTTTGCGAATAACTTCATAATGTCTTTGAAAAGTACGCAATTTATAATTTAATAAAAATTAAATTACCGCTGGACAGTTACAAGAGGTAGGATTCAAGTCGAACGAAGCTCGTACACGCATGTTATTTCCCAGCGGAGAGTGATGATGATGCTGACCCTCACTCACTGATGATGGCACTTACCTGTTACATCGTGCATAATGTTGTTGTCCTCTTCTCACGGCTCATACCCAATGCAGGGGATTGGCCGAGTGTTAGGTGATTTTTTTTTCTCTTTTCAGTGTTTTTTTCGCAATACTTCTCGTATAAGCTAGGAATAGTTAATACAACTTAATTACGGAATATCATCAAAATGTTTCAAAAGATGAATTCAGCTCGATATTCTTTTAGGTTGACTGATAAATAACTTTAGGGCGTAGTAAATGCCCCTGTAACTGTAGCCCAGTGTAGAGGCGCCAAAAGAAAGAACAACTGAATATCGCAGCGTAAACGGATACGTCCTGTTCGTTCCACCTCCTTTCTCCTGCTTGCGGCGGCCGCCGAGCGCGAGCGTGCCATGGCACAGCGCTGTAGTCGGTAGTGACGCCTCATATGACATCACCCAGGCATAGGCATCGTGTGCTTCCATCGGGCGGATTGTCGCGTATGTTTCGGGCTATATACATGTGATTTTAACGCCATAGCAACGTGAAATATCTGTCCAATGCGAAACTTACACTTCTTTTTTGCGTGCTTCAAACTAATACGGTGATTTATTATATTAACTGTGTGGCAAAAATACCACATCTCTGGTTTGATTAGGCGAGCGAAGATGGTCCAATGTGAGACTTGCACTTCTTTTTTCGTGCTTCGAACTAATAAATGTGTCGCAAAAATACTTTTTACAGTTAAATTGATGAACTTTTGCAGCTTTCTGGTTTTTATTTTGTGAGTCTTTATTAACCTGATAGTTCGTTCTCTCGCTCCCTCAAAAATTGTGCTTGAAGGCATGCGAAATTCTGCGTACTCCAGAATTTTTTCACTTTAAAGTTTAATTGTAAGTACTCTAAAGTATCGACATTTCACGCTTGAAAGTTTCTTGGATAGTTGACACGCGATACCGCGGGATTTGTCGTTTCAAAAGCAACGACGGTTGTGTGCAAGCTGATACCAGCGAAAGACTTTTTTTTTTTTTTTGCCGGTATTTTTCGCGGTCAGCATCATCTGCACACTTGACATAAAGCAGGCAATGACAATCCAGCAAATACTATGTAGGTATACTAAATCGGTGGTCTTGATGACAGAAGATTGTACAGCAGTATCTAAGCGATTTGGGGGAGTATATAAGAAGACAAAGAGAAGAGGGACAGGGAGGTTAGCCAGTTCTCAGACCGGCTGGCTACCCTGTGCTGGGAAGAAAGTAAGGGTATGGCGGATAGAAGGAGTAAGGGGAGTAGAGGGTGAGAGAAAAGAGATGCTAAAAAAAAAAAGAAGCGGAAGAAAAAAAAAATAGTACGACAGACGACACTGCTTAGAGAATGTCTCTGAGGCCAGTCACCTGCAAGAGGCGCAACGACGCTCTCAATGCCTTGCGTGCCGAGAACGGCCCTCTGTCTAGACACATCGGCGCCCGTAACTCAGTCGGCCAAGGTCTACGTCAGCGCAGCACGCAGTCGTACACGATGAACTGTATGCGCTCCCCCTCTATACAGAGAGAGAGTACACTTTTAAAAGCATTCGTTCGGGAAACCGCCCGAAGCAGGAAAGGCCACGGCGGCGCCTCCCTGACGCGACGATTCGCGACGAAGAGAGCCCACGGTTGCCCCGTTCTAGGGTGGCAGAAGGCCCGGGTGTGACGGCCCGCGGGTATAAAATACGTCGACCGAGCGGAGGAAGGGGGGGGGGGGGGGGACACACACTGTCAGCGTAAATTTGCGCTCGCCGCTAATCTGTACAGAGTCTCCAAACCGATAACATCGCTCACGCATCGTCTCTTTCACGTGCGTGTAAAAACGCGGAAGATGAAACGACCCGGTCGTCACCGTCGCGCGAAGGGGATTATTAGATAACAATCGCTCCGCGTGCGAGGCCTGTCGTCGCTTGCTCACGAGTTATTATTAGCTCAAAAAGCTATCAGGATGTATTTCTTACATTTAGGAATTGCAGGAATAGAATCGAACTGCCTGGACATTCCCGGAGTGCGAATGGGCCAAGTTTTTTTTTTTTCCTGAGGAATTAAAAGAAACGGAATTGCGGCAAGTCCTAATTCACCTGAATGGAGTTGGAATAGAAAGGAGGTGCCCGTTCCGCAATACTGCGCCGCACGCTATCGTTACTAACTTACTTGCTCGTAAGTAAGTTAGTAACGCACAACTCACACTTGAGCGTAATCACGAGACCAGCTTTGTTTACCCGAAACGGCTCCTGCCTGGCTCGGCACTTCTCTGAAATTGAAACTGAGCGCTCTAAAAACGTTTCTAAATAAATCGCACTCGCGCAAACGAAGGTTTCCAACCGCGGTAAGTGGGGGTTCCTATTGCAAAAAAAAAAAAAGTGACAATTTTTGTGTGCTCCTTTAAGATTATTTTCGGAACAAAATGCATGTAACAACATTCCCTGGCAGCATATCCATTTCGCCACTGAAATGTTTGTAATATCATCGTTATAATGCCGTTTAACGTGGGAGCTCGGTCGAGCAGAGGCAAGAAATACGCGTGTTGACAGCTCCAGAGCAACAAGCAGACAACGTTTCCTGCGAGTGAAAACAGGACCGCCGAAAACGCTCGCATGCCGTCCGAAAAATCGCAAAGCGACGATGACGAGACCGCTCCGCAGGCATGCAACATAAAAGAGGGATTTGCTGATCGATTATTGTATCAATTAGAAAGTTGCAAACAAGTGTACAAGTATCTGCCAATACAGACAAATGTGACGTTTTTTTTTTCATGGAAAAGCCACGTTTCGAGGGATCTGCTGAATTTCAAGGCGTTCTCGGAGCTGTGACGGTATTTTTGCCTTTGCGTTCTTCGTCGAGTTCTAGAGTGGTTTCGTACCCTGCGCGTCGAAGGCCGGCTTGACCTGTGGGTGACAGCTAGAGTCTCTCGACCTGGTTAATGAGGCGTGCTTCGGCAAGTTCTTCCCACGTATTGTGAACTCCAGTGCGAAGCAATCGCTCAGTGGAGGCGGTCTATAAGGCAAGCTTTGTAGCATTTCGTATCAGCAAACTTAGCTTTTGTTTGACCGCTGTCTTCAGGTTAAGGTAGGGAGTTCCGCACGTTATGCGGCTGCATCCTCAACATCACCGAGCAAGGCGGCTCGCCAGGGTTAACATGATCAGGAATAACCATCGCAATGACCCGCATGCGCGATACGTGGACGTATCCGGGACGTAACGCCTTCGCGATTACCGTCACAGATTACAAGGACACGGTACTGGCATCGGCGACCATGCTCGCCAAACGTGCGGAAACAGCTGAAGAGGCTGCTATAGCACTCGCCACCCAGACGAGTCAGGATGTCATCGTGGTCTTCACCGACTCACAAACGGCGGCACGGAACTACCCGAAAGGCAGGGTCTCCACGGTGGCGATTAAGTTACTAAAATGCAAGGACAATCCCCCCCCCCCCCCCCCCCTACACATGCACCGTGTGGGATTTCGGTGTGGCAGCTTGGGCTGGTTGGTACGAAATGACGATAGTTATAGCGCGAGAACAGAACGACGACAAAAGACACAAGAAGGAGACGAGCGCTACTTCTTGTCCCTTTGTCGTCGTTCTGTTCTCGCGCTATAACTATCGTCGTACGTTCCGAGTCACGAAGGTCTCCAGGGAAACGAAGCGGCACACACCGCAGCCCACGAATGCATCAACCGGGCATCCCCGTACGAGATCCGAGGCATCTCCCACTCGACAACAAAAGCAGAGGCAAGACAACCCATACCACTAACATATTGTCACGTTCGCCTATAACACGGCTCATCAAGAAACAACAAGAACAACGCCATTCCGCCTTCTTCATGGTCGTGAAGTCACCACTATGCTGGATGCTACGCTGCCGCACGAGTGCGAAAACGTCGAGACGGGTGCTGATTATATCACCAAGCTTGAAGAAGAAGCCCGACAACTTGAACGCCTACGTATTAGTCGCCAGCAGGACTACGATTCAAGACGGTACAACCTTCGTCACCGACTGGTCTCATATGAGCCAGGAGAGATGGATATGGACTCCTATTCGGCGCCATGGCCTTTCAGAAAAACTGTTAAGACGGTACGTCGGACCCCATAAAGTTCTACGACGTCTCAGTGACATTATTTATGAGGTTGTTCCTGATACTGCGCACTCATCAAGGCGTCGAAGGTGTGCTCCAGAAGTTGTGCACGTTGTTCGGATGAAACCTTATTTCTCCGAATGAATTCATGCGTTTCCAGCGAGTACGAACCACTTTGATTATAAAGCATCGGGACGATGCTTTCTTGAATGGGAGGCTAATTCACGGCTAAAGGCCGGGCAAGAAAACAGAGGACGACGAAGTGATGAGCGTGGACAGCACCCACGGTTGCTCCGAGGAAGACGACGTCGAAGCGGCTGCTCTTTTGTTCTGTTAATACAGACCTTGTTTTTCCTGGTCGCACCTTCGTTCTGTATCCTGCCATTTTCAAGTCGCGACAATATCATCTCCGCCACATCCAAAACTCACAAGAGACGAGGGCA